GCTGGGGGTACCAAGGGCTAGGCGTAAACTTAGAGGGGACAGAGCGTTTTCCATTGTGGCTCCTAAGCTATGGAATGCGCTGCCTCTTTACATTAGGCAGGCCCCCTCGCTGGCCATTTTTAAAACTTACTTGAAGACCCATTTGTATGCCTTGGCGTTTGATATGGCATGAGACTCTGTTTGCTGAGTTTTGGTTTTGGATAGTATTTTGTTATTTTGCTGTCTTGGTTCATTTATTTTATTTTATTGTTTTATTCTTATTAATGTAGTTGTTGACGTGTTTATATGTTTTAAATCGAATCTTATGTTAAGCACTTTGTTTGGTTTTGGCTGTGTTAAAGTGCTCTATAAATAAAGTTGAGTTGAGTTGAGAGTTGAGTTAAAAGGACCATGTTGAGAACAAAGCCTCGGCAACCTTTGCAGTTGCACAGCAGAACGTATTCTAGATAGCACCATACATTTTGGACTCACAGCTAGTTGGAGTAGATTTGTACCTTCTCTGCCTCTTAGGTTTACTTTTTATCTGTGTGACTACCTGAGCGTCTCCAGTCTGCAGCTTTGACTCGACAGTCCATCACAGAGCAGCTTCACTCCTGAATCTCTCAGGTCGTTGTTGCTCAGGTCCAGATCGTTCAGAGCTGAACAGGAGAACTTGAGGGCAACGGCCAGGTGTTCGACCCACTCTGCAGTCACTCTGCAGTCTGCTAGTCTAGGGGTGGATGTTGAGTGTACAATGCATAAGTACTGGATATAGATAAATACAGATTGTTGAAACTAGTTTCACAGAGTGATAAACATGCTCTTGTTGGTTTTAACTTGTCCTACATGTTTTTGAAGGATCACAGTTATTTGTTAGGCTTCAATATGCTTCATATAAAGAGCTTGTAGGATGTTCAAAGTGAAAGTAAACTTACATTGCCTTCCTGCTGCTCCTCACAGCTGGTATCAGTCTCCTCCTGCCTTCGTCTGAAGTGTTGTAACTCTTCAGGTCCAACACATCCAGATCATTCTTTGACACCTCTAGCATGTAGGCCAGTGCAGAGCAGTGCATTGGAGTCAGGTCTGTTTTGGAACGATCTGATGACTTCAGATATTCCTGAATCTCATCTTTAACTTTATGGTCTCTCATCTCGACCATGGTCTGGAACAGGTTGATACAGCTGTCTGGAGAGAGGGTCTTCCTTCGGATGGATTTTAGGTAAGTCAAGACCTTCTTGTCTGTGTCTTTGCTTTGGTCTGGTGACGTCAGTAGACCCCGAAGGACTCTCTGGTTTGGTTCAACCATAAGGCCAAGGAGGAATCGCAGGAACCAGTCCAGGTGGCCGTTCTTCTTCTCTAACACTTTGTCAACTGTCTTCTTTACAAGATCAAGCAAAGTATGTTCTTTGTCCTTCAGATCCAGGAAGTCACCGAGCTCTGTTGTGTTATTGTTTGTCAAACATTCATACACAAAAAGAGCTGCAAAGAACTCCTGCATGGTCAGGTGGACAAAGAAGAAGACCTTTCTCTGGGAAAACACTTCTTCTTCTCTAAGAACGGTGTTGCAAAATCCAGAGTAAACAGATGCTTCTTTTATGTCAATGCCACATTCTTCCAGGTCTTCCTCATAGAAGATGAGGTTGTTCTTCTGCAGCTGAACAAATGCAAGTTTGCTGAGTTTCAGGAGAAAATCTCTGTGTGTCTTCAAAAGATTCTCTTTGCTTTTCTCACTCTTCTCATCATACTTTCTGCTTCTGCGTTTTGTCTGAGCAAAGAGGAAATGCGCCATCATCTCTGTCAGAGTTTGAGGAATTTCACTTTTTTCATCTCCCTGAAAAACTTCCTGAAATAACAGAGCAGAAATCCAGCAGAAGATCGGGATGTGGCACATGATGTCCAGGGTCTGTGAAGACCGGATGTGTGAAATGATCCTGTCAGCAAGTCTCGAGTCCTGACTGAATCTTTTCTTGAAGTATTCCTCTTTTTGTGGGTCACTGAACCCTCGTATCTCTGTCACCATATCAACATACTCTGCAGGGATCTGATTGGCTGCTGCTGGACGGGAAGTTATCCAGAGGTTCGCATTAGGTAGAAGGTTGCCCTGGATCAGGTTTGTGAGGAGATTATTCAGAGATGTTACTTTACTGACAGATGTTACCACCTCATTGTTCTCAAAGTCCAGCTGAAGTCTGCTTTCATCCAGACCGTCCAGGATCACTAGGACCTTGGCTTTGACGTAATCCTCTGAATCTTTCAGATCACAGAGCACAGGGTGGAATTCAGTCAGGAGCCTGTGCAAGCTTTTCTCATCTGTAATCAAATTCAGCTTTCGGAAAGAAAGACAAAAAACTAAATCAATATCCAGGTTCTCTTCCTCCTCGGCCCAGTCAAGAATGAATTTCTGCACAGCAAATGATTTTCCAATGCCTGCGACGCCCTTTGTCAGGACTGTTCTGTGGGGTTTCTCTGGGCCATGCAGAGGTCTGAAGATGTCACTGAGGTTGATTGAGTAGTCATATGATTGCTTTTTCAATTTGCGTTTGATGTGTCTGAAGGTATGTTCTTCATTTGGCCCTTCACTCTCCCCAGTTGTGATGAAGAGTGCTGTGTAGATGCTCCTGAGGGAGCTTTCTGCGTCACCATTGCCTTCAGATGTCAAAGTTAGTTTTTTTTGCATTGCATTTTTAAGTAACTCCTTAGTTTTCCGAAGGGGCTTGTCTCCTGTAAACAAACAAGATTTGATTTTCAGGTTTCTAAAAGTATGACCAGAAATTTAGATTTTCTTTCTTTGAAGAATCAGTTGTTGTTGCTGAGTTAAAATGAAACCTGGAATCTGTCAGATCCCTGCATAGTTAGTTATATAATCAGACCTTTTCTTATAATTATACAAGAGAACCTGTCACACAACCTAAAAAAAGGACTCTCATTAATCTAATTTTAGCATTAGGGCCTGACCACACCTGAAAGTGTACAGTGAAATTTATCTGCACCTCTTTAAAAACTGTGTGGCTCAAAAGCTTGGTGACGTAGTTACAACTTAACAGGGCCGGTTACTGTAGCTGCATGGAGGCCACTAACACACTGGCCAACCAGCAACATGCTATTAAACCAAATAATAAGGTCTCTTATTTATTCAAATTGTCCCTGGTAGGCTAGTGGTTAAGGCGCAGCGGCAAGAGCCCTGTGCCTTAACCACCTGTTCGAATCCATGTTGCGTCAGGAAGGGCATCTGGCGTAAAACTTGTGCCAAATGTCAACATGCGAGTCGTCAGTGTGACAATTCGCTGTGGTGACCCCTAAACAGGAAAAGCCGAAAGTGACTTTCTATTTATTCAAATTATGCATTTTACCACTGATGTTTTCTGTAATCTCTCTGTACAGAGAAGGTTAAACAAACCTGAACAACATTTACAGTAATAATTGTTTCCTCTGTTTGGACTCTTTCATCAAACGTCAGTACTGTTGGATGACATGAATGTGTGTCGAAGTTAACCAGGGTTTAACTCCATTAAACCATTTGTGTAGATTTACGTCGACCTTGTGAGCAAAATTACTGATTGTAGCGATTTGATTTGAATCGGATGATTTTGCCACCAACTTTCTCCATGTGTGTGAGACCAGGTCTTTGACCGTAGTTAGTAGAGGCAGGAGCTGTGTTAGTACAGATATTTATTTAAGAAACGGTTAAACGTCAATGTACCCATGTTGTTGTGAACATTTTCTCCACACTGAGGGCAGGAGTTGGTTACTGGTAAATCAGACTGGTCACAGTCTGAGCTGACACACTGTTTGCATGACCGGTGTCCACACATGAATTGGACCGGATCCCTCACAGCCTCCTTGCACAGTGAACAGCTGATGAAATCCCCACTCAGCTGGCTGTAAGGAGATCAACAAATGGCACATTGTTTTTGACATCATTTTGTCAGAGGCTATATTCTCTGGTACTTCTACCTCTGATGCCTCTTCTACAAAGAGAAATATCCTTTGTATATACATAGACTTGAAAAAGCAATAAAAATCTAACTTTACATTCATTCAGCAGCCAGCTGTCTGACCTTCTGCTAGTTTAAAGGCAAAAGCTCTTTCAGGTGTACAAAGACATTTCCATTACAAACCATTTTGACTCTTTAAAGTGGAGTGGAATGTACATGGATGCATCAGTCTTCATAGAGACACAGCTGGGACCTGTGGACTTGGTGCCTACACTCATCTGTGAGCTATGGGCAGAGAGAGTTTTATATTGTCAGTCATTTCCTTAGCAAGAAGTCATGTATGCTCACATACAACACTGAGTATGTGCAAGAACGTCATCATGAAACATAAGCTGTGTCCCAGTTACATCCAACTGCAGTGTAACAGAAACAACGAAGCAGGATGGATAACAATGTTAGATACAAGTTTCTGAGAGCAGGAGACCAAACAAAAGACTGTAGGATACCAGGTTCAGTTTAATGCAGGACTTTCATTAAATGTAATAAAGTATATTACCTTTCAGTCACCGTTTATAGTGTGCAGAAGTGCCACCTGACATATGAATATGCTAACGACAAGACTAAGTTACAGTTGGTATAGTCTTACCTGCCTGACATCTTGGTTCTCGTAGATCTCTTCCTTTTCTTCTGCTCGGCCATTTCTGATGGAACAATTGGAAACAACATTTTAAGACACTTTTCAGGATACTAGGTTTGTAGTATCCCATCTGTTTTTCTAACTGACAAATTTTAAGTTCAGGCTCAATAAGGAATAAAGATATTTATCAGAGAGACGGTCTTACTGAAAAAGGGTCCTTATAGAGTCACTGGAGATGTTGTCAAGTCTCCTTTTAAAGCCACTTGACACCTGCTCAAGAGAAACACATCTCCATGACAACCAAACGCTGCAACCTACCGCTGTAATTATTAATGGATCATATCCACACTGCTACACCTGTGCTGACCATCAACAGCCAGTGATATCTGTGGTGTGAAATGCAACTTGGCATCTACTCGCATGGTACCTGCCCAAGACAAACATGTCTGCAGGACCACCAGACACGTGTCTATGGAGGAGAACACCACGTGTTGTTAACAATGAACAGCACAACCAGTGTATTTTGACATAATGAATAAATAGAAATAAGTAAAAAATTATTTGTTTTTGCATTAAAAACATGAAAACACAGTATAACACAAACACATCATATCATTTGATATTACCAATAATTTTATCCATGGATACTTTTCTACTATAGTAGGAAGTCATTAAATCTAATTAAACATAAACGACAGTTTGCTGTTTGATTAATTATTCATGACATATGAATACACAGTATTTAAATACAGTAGATAAAATAATGTACAGTATAACAATACTGAGGCCGATTCCTTAATGAAGAGTGACACGTTAAAATAATATGAGCAACATGCTGAAAAAAAAAACTTCTGAAAAAATCATCTGGACTTGGTTTTAGGTAGAAGACGCTTCACCTCTCATCCAAGAGGCTTCATCAGTTCTGCCTGACTGGTGGTGAGTAGGAGGTGTTTACCCCCCTGGGTGGAGTTTCAGTCCTCCAACAGTGTTCTCTAACAACTGAGTTGTTCTAGTCCGGTATCAGAGCGTTGTTACCTGTCTTTGAACATGTGGACTGACGCCTATTGTCCTGGTCTGAATTGGGGTGGAAATGTTTGGTCAGAGATCTCAAAAACAGAGTTTTTCTAAGTTTTTCACTGTTACCCAAGCACTTTGCAGGCATATTCACTTAAAATATAGGTAACAAAGTCTTGCAAGTATAATAAAAATTTTTTCAGCATGGATGAATTTGCATAGACAATATGTGGGACAAATGTTGTTATTCACTGTTACACTTTTCACCTGATCATCAGATGGCGCCATTGTGAGGACGCCTGT